GGCTTAAAAGCAGACTCCTTGTTATTGTATGGGATCCTAGAAAAACTCCATATGGCTAAGGCAACACACCATGAGAATATTCCCCCTAGGAGCCATCACTATCTCTGATCCTTAAAGAAAGGCATGCAGCAAGATGGTATCACTTCCTATGCAAGTACAAGAAAGAGGGAGCTATTTTGGGGTGCCATCTGGGGTTTCTTGCCTTTTTTTCCTGAAAGTGGGAACAACCTTAAGGAATGCAGACAAACCAGAGAATCCAGGTCCTGGTAGTACACTTGATATAATCACATCCCACCTCGCTATGCAGATCTCTGGAGACAAACTGCACCCAAGAGCACACAGACTCCCTTTGGGGTGGATGGCAGGTGTGCTTCTGCTTCTTGTAAAAGTATATACAGACTTGCAGCTTTTACACTGTTTCTCCTTTTGAGACGTCCTAAAGTTTGGGCTCCAAGTGAATTCAATTAACAAAAAGAAGTGTCAATACCACCATTCTTACTTTCAAAGCTCATTTACAGTTATAGTCTGTCCACTAAGAGCTTCTGACAGCAGAAAGTTCTATCACTGGAAAGCTGTCACGTGAGATGCCTGCATGATGCTTGGGTGCCAGAGCTGAACAGAATAGACCACATGGAGTTGGCCCCCATTCAAGAAGCAAGATTTTGAAATAAACAGCTATAGGGTTTTTCTTTTTTTTTTTTTTGACTAGGCACACACAAACCTGTCTTCAGCTGCTAACCTTAATATATTACTCATTCTTCCTTTCAAATAACATCATGTTCAAAACCCCAGTGACTGCAGAATATTTACTTGAGGCTGCTACTGCTGGTTTCTCTAGAGCTGTTTATTTTTCCATGCATGAGCTCATTACATCACTCTGTGGTTTTCTTAAAGGTTGTCACGGTAAGCTGGATACAGGCTGGAATCTCTTGCTAACTAAACCCAAATCGCTAAGTAGCATAGATGGATTTGGAGATAAACCAACTCTGGAGATGAGAAACAACTATGGATTCCTCGGTGGAGATGGGGTGCTCCCAAACAGGCAGCCATTCCATTTATTTTCTTGGAAGCACATTATCAAGTGTTTCCCTAGATTAAGAACTGTAAAAGAATAACCATTTGGAGTATTCCAGGCTGGAATAGGTTGTGGAGAGAAGGTAGGAAAGTAAGAGGTTGAAACAGTATAAGTAGAATGAAAAGACTGTTCCCACCCACAATGATTAGAGAATGGCCATTGCAAAGGTCCCATCTGTATCACCTCCTGCTCTGGCAGTATTAAAAATAAATGACACATCACAGAGGGCAGTGCTAAATAACAGGCTTATTTTGGGGTAGCCATGTGTGAGCATATGCAGGTGTGCATGTTTGAGGAAGGTGAAAATCAATTCAAAACAAACATAAAAATGTTTTTGCCGTCTTGCCACAGCAAACAAAATATTGTGTTGATCTAGATCTTTCACTTGCCCTGAAAAGCAAAACTGACTTTTGGGCTGTTAGGATTCATAAAGGCAGAAGACTTAGTTTGTAAGTGTAGAAAAAGAATAACTGCTACTCAACAGTCCAGACTTTAGAACACGTTCTTATTTTGATTCCTGCCTCTGGCTAAGATTTCAACCTGCATCTCACCCTACTGAGAGATGTAGTGGTCATTTCATTCTTTAAGGCCGGCAGGAGTAAGACCACTAGCAATCCCTCCTAGCAATGCTGTTTTACTTAGCATAGAAAAATCCAGTGGCAAAATGCCTGGAGATGCGTAGATTCTCAGTCAAGTGCTCTAATCACCAGGCTAGAATCATTCTGCTTTTCCTGATCCCTAGCTTAATTAGTATTTACACATGCCAAGCAAAACAAATACTCTAAGAGAGGACTGTTTCAGGAGAACCTCTTCTGTTTGTCAACACTAAGTGCAAGGTGGAACACTCAGATTTCAAATGCAGGTTTTATGAGATACAGGCTGCATATGCAACATGCAGGTGTCACCAGCTCCACAGTGCTCGGCTACTTGGTGGTTGGCTCACTCTGAAGCCTAACATTGACCAGAGGCAATGACAGCAAGTTACAGAGCTTATTTGTCTCCATACAGCAATTCTTAAATTCTCCTCATGGTTGATACAGTGATGGTGCTAGCCTTCCAAGATGTCCAATCTCAGTGCTGATTAGAGAGCAGCACGTGCCCTCTGACAGCAGTATCTACTGGACTTCTCTTCACTGCAAAGGACAGGGCTATAGAACCATCACAGGGAGGAGAGAGATCAGGGTTAAGTGTTTCAGTATACAAACTCCAAGGAATAGAGCAGGCTTTCAAGAACTCAAGACTAATGAAAAAAAGAACAGAAAGAAAAGAAGAGTTAGGCTGGATATTACAAAGAAAAATCCTGAGACTGAGTTCAGACATCAGAGCAGCTTCCTATGGGAAGAAGTGAAATCATTATTGCCTAAGGCATTCACACTACACTAGAAAATGCTGCTCTTCATACAGCACAAACATTCACCAGCCCTAAGGTAACAGATTAGATGACCTACCAGGTCTTTTCTCACCTCTAATTTCAGTGGTCCCATTAAACTGCGGCAAGAGGATACCAGTCTATATCTGCTTCAAGACAGTAAGTGCAAGCTCAGAGACAATATTGCTGAGCGAATACCAAGACCAAAAATCTAGTTTTGCACTAGTAAAAAACTTACCTTAACCCTTTAAAAACAGATGAAAAATAAGATGTGTGCTGAACATTAATATTTCAAACTCTCAAGGGCCAAAACCAATTAAAAACATCCCTTAATCTTGCATGCCCATCTCATGACAGTCATTTCATCATTTTCAGCCAAGACAGACTTGAAGACATTTGAAGAACCCGATTCTAAATGATAATTATCCTCCCCAGCTCTTTGTTGTTCAAACCCACTTACCCTACACATTGCCTTTTAACATATATGACAAGGGATGAAAGGAAGGAAAGGTACCAAACAAGTGGACTACGCTTCACTGGTTGAAAGAAACGGACTAAAGTAGCCCACATCTAATATCAGCTAAACCATAGCCCTATTTTGATGAGGCAGCATTTCTTCATATCAATAATTCAGTGTCGGAAACTGAGATGGCTGTGTATTTGTATGTGGAAATTCGGGGCTACAAATTGGCAACCCAGTATCTTAATGAGATCCTACAGCAAATGAGTGTCTGTCAGAGTCAGATGAAGTACACATCTTTTAGTTTACTGTAGAAATCACCTCCTATGGAACTCTAGAATTTTCCAGTTCATTTATTTTCAATTTGTATCATGTACCCACAATAATCTTGTTTGAATAACAGAAATGACATCAGAACCAACTGAAAAAGTGAGAAAAGTAAACTCACAAAAGGAACTCTTCCATAAACAAAAATCAGGTTTACATCAGGCAGCTTCCTGATGAAACACGAACAAACTGATTGCTTTTACAACGTGAAAGGCAGCCTCCTTTGGCTCTGTCTGGCCAAGAAAGGCTGGGAGACAGGCTCATGAGTAAAAGACCTTCCCACTCCCCCATCCCTTTATAGCCTCTTAGAACCCAGACCTAGGAACTCTTATTTGCATTGCAGCTACCAGGTTTGCTGCATTAGAAGGAAAGTTGGTCTCCAAGATAGTTAAGACCCATTACATGGGATTTTAATATTAAGCTGTCACCCTCAATTGCACTGTGAGCTGCTGGTTGTCCCAACAGTTCACAAAACACAATCTGCATCTGCTTTCTGTGAAAGACATCCTCAAAAGAAGAATGCTGATATTCCTACACCATCTGAAGCTTCTGGATGATTCTCACTGGCAGTTCCCACACAGACCACCACACTACAAAAACAGTCAGGAGGTAAAGCACAGGAGACTTGCTAAAACTGGGGTCTGCACAATGACAGATGTCCTCCTGCTAAGAGCTCTTCTCCACTCCGCAGCAAAAGAATCTCACCTAGCCTAGCACTGATTCCAACGTTGCAGTTGGGAAGTGGCACAGGAAGGTTAAGGGAACTGCTGAGTGTCACAAATGCTTTCTGACTAATCTAGAAATACCAGGTGATGATGTACTTCAGTCCCCAGAACAAATAAATCGTGATAGCCTGGAGTTCCTCCCAACAGCTGTTCTAGGCATATATTGTTTCATAAAACATATGCAATAGTAACAAATCCTATTTAAACATTTAAGTAAACCCATGGGTTCTTAAGGCAGTTTTCTTTTGAATATTCCCTTTACCTTCTTCCTTTCTACCACTTCAGCTAAAATATATCAGAGAGAAACAGTACTTACCGAGAATCCCTAACTTACCTCTTCAGATTCTTCCAGTTTCTGGCAATTTCAGTAACTCCTCACAGTTTCACCCTCATGTCCAATCTCAAGTCTTACATCCTAACTTCATTATCTTCTTGCTCCCCCTTTTCCCACTCATGTTCATGATCTTTTCTTTGCAGGTTTTTATGCTTGGGTCTTCCCTCATCCCCTCTTTTGCCCACAAAAATAATCAACATTTTACTTAGGCCCAGACATAAGTAACCTTATTTCAGTCATGAAATAATGAAATAATCCACTCATTTCTCTATCAAAAAATATCCCCTGCAGAGAAGAATCTTGAAGTTGCTGGAAAAGAAGCCCCTCTCTGTATTTTCTCAACTGCTTACACCAAAACCACAGCCCAGATCTCAGAGCTAAATGCGTTAGTTTGTACATCCATGAATGACTGCTGAACAGCAGACAGAATAAAGACAACAACTGGCTGGGATGAATTAACAGATGAAATTAGAGGGTTCCCAGTTATGGTTTTGGGAAACAAACATCCCTTATCACACACTGACTGTGGCCTTCTGGACACAAAAAAAAGATGCTATCTGAAATTATTTTTATAGCCTGCACTTCAAATCCTGCAACAATGAAAAGCAGCGGGATAGCTACAACAAAGAAAGAAAGAAACAAGAACAGACGGTGAGGGACTGCAGCTTAGTTAAAAGAAACTTTTTTTTTTTTTTAAGATGGAATATTACCTGAATTCCTTATACTGGAGCTGTTCAGTTTGGAATCTTTGATGACCAAGTGCTTAATCCAAAGCGTGGGTGCTGTGATTTCTGAAAGAGAAAAAATAACTGTCTTAAAGGAACTACAGCAACAAGTGAATACACGTGGTTATTACTCCTGAGGACAAGATGTCTGCTACAATCATGCCTTAATTGATCCACCAGATCTGTAGAGATAGGCTCATCCCCTGTTAAAGTCTTCCACCTCTTACAAACCACTATTTGTAAGTCTTCCACAAGTTTATCTGAGCATCTTCCCATTCCAGAGAGTACTTCTCTTCTGGCAAAACACGTTTTTTCCCCTCCCTCTACCCCCCCAGTTCCCAAAGACTTTCTCATCAATATTTAGAGATCTCAAAGGTTATATTGTGTGCTATAAAGTTACATTGGTTTCTGCTAAAGTATGTATGAAATCCAGACTTAAAAAAAGTCAATCGAGACCTTAAATATCGCTTTAACAGCCCAAGAAGAGCTGACCACAGTCCGCTCCCTAAAACAAGCGGCAACGAAATCCGAAATAAACAGGCAGAGAAATGAAGATATTCCTGGAAAGACTTAAAAGAAAGCCCGTTAAAGAAAGAGGTTCTGGTTAGAAAAGCACATCTGATGTGCTACAACCAAGACACCCAAACATAAATTTGTGGGGGGAAAAAACAGTGCTTAGAACACCTCCTCTGAGGTTCACAGAATTCACAGAATTGTTAGGGTTGGAAGGGACCTCTGGAGATCATCTAGTCCAACCCTCCTGCCAGAGCAGGGTCACCTACAGCACGTTACACAGGACAGCGTCCAGGCGGGTTTTGAATATCTCCAGAGTGGGAGACTCCACCACCTCTCTGGGCAGCCTGTTCCAGTGCTCCACTACCCTCAAAGTAAAGAAGTTCCTTCTCATGTTAAGATGGAACTTCCTATGTTCAAGTTTATGCCCATTACCCCTCGTCCTATCACTGGGCGCCACTGAAAAAAGACTACTCCCATCCCCCTGGCATCCTCCCATTAAGTATTTGTAAGTATTAATAAGATCCCCCCTCAATCTTCTTTTCTCTAGACTAAAGAGACCCAAGTCCCTAAGCCTTTCTCCATAGGAGAGATGTTCCAATCCCCTAATCATCTTCGTTACCCTTTGCTGGACCCTCTCCAGCAGTTCCCTGTCTTTCTTGAACTGGGGAGCCCAGAACTGGACACAGTACTCCAGATGCGGTCTCACCAGGGCAGAGTAGAGGGGGAGGATGACCTCCCTCGACCTGCTGGCCACACTCTTCTTGATGCACCCCAGGATGCCATTCGCCTTCTTGGCCGCCAGGGCACATTGCTGGCTCATGGTCATCCTGTTGTCCACCAGGACTCCCAGGTCCCTCTCCACAGAGCTGCTCTCCAGGAGGTCAGCCCCCAACCTGTACTGGTGCATGGGGTTATTCCTCCCCAGGTGCAGTACCCTACACTTACCCTTGTTGAACTTCATAAGGTTTCTTTCTGCCCAACTCTCCAGCCTGGCGAGGTCACGCTGTAAGGCAGCACAGCCTTCTGGCGTGTCAGCCACTCCTCCCAGTTTTGTGTCATCAGCAAACTTGCTGATGGTACACTCTATCCCTTCATCCAGATCATCAATGAATATGTTGAACAAAACTGGGCCCAGTACTGACCCCTGAGGGACACCACTTGTTACTAACCTCCAACTAGACTCTGCACCACTAACCACAACCCTCTGAGCTCTATCTGTAAGCCAGTTCTCAATCCACCTCACTGTCCATTCATCTAAGGTGTTCCAATCAACTTCAAAACACAGCAGAACCTGCCCTAAGCCACAGAAATGACACATCAGCATTTGATTAGAGCTGAGCAAAGCAGTATTCAATATCATGTGCTAGAGCCCCTAAAGTGACATTTCCAGAACTGATATTTTCTGATCAGTTTCCACAAGAGCATGCTTTAAATACTAAACCCTGGAGTTTGTCTGGAGTTCCTCTAGGAATTTTTTAGAAGAGTTTTCCTGCTCCCCTGTTGACATTTACATGGATCTGCTCAGCAATGGAGAAGCTGGCTGACTACAAGAGAAACTGATTATACATTATAAAAGCATAAAGGGAAAAATTAAAGGGAATTTTTCCTTCCTAAATGTTTTCACCTACATTGATTGTAGGCATTATTGTAATCATGTTCAGGGCATTTTTTCATTTGGAAATATAGGTTGAACATTGATATTCCAGCAGTAATAGAAGTTTGCTGAACAAAGATTGCCTTATCCGCAGGTTTCACTACACTGTTTTATCATCTCTTGGTCACGATGCGCTCCTACAAATACATATACCTATATACTTTGGGCCTTTTGGGAGGAGAACTACATCAAGTTAAACTCTAGGTGAGAGGTAGGAAGGGGAGAAGTACAAAAGTAGAAAAAGTCCACAAACTAAAGTGCTGGATCCAAACTCCTAAATCTGGGATGAAATTTAGCTCTGGCTCTGTGCTGTATGAACAGGGTATGTCAACAGCTGAAAAAGGAGGGACAACCAAAGATCAACAGATGCTGAAGGTCAGGGCCTTTAGAGACACAATGGTGGCAGGAAGGCAGTTAATCCCTTGAAATCTACCATAAAAATGTATTTTCCATCCAGTTCACCTGGACATTTTTTAGAATACAGGTAAGCAAAATAGACTCCTCTGGACAACAGATCTGTGGAAAGAGTAGATTCCCACTGAGTTAAGGGGTGAAGTTTACCAAAAAGAGAAGATGTTTAAAGTTATTTTTTAGGAAATTAATACAACTTGCACATTGAAACTAAATAGAGAGTGGATACAAAGAAAACGGAGCCAAGAAGTGCAGGAGAAAATAAAACTTTGAGGTTAAAACTATAGCAGAGACCATTAATACAATACTTTTCTGCAACTCTTCTGCAGAGGAGAATCTCGTCCCAAGAGGAGACTCACTATAAACATCACTGAGATCTGCATTGTAACAAAGTTAAATAATTTTTAGAGATGGATGCTTTATGATTCAAACCTTGGACAGGAAAGTTTAAGTTATCTGATCTACATTATCTCTGGCGCTGCTTTGTTATGCCCTCAGGGAGGATGGTAGGGAGTGGAACTCATTATGCCTGAAATTTGAATTTTCATTATCTTCTAATGTAGGTGAAAACATGAGAAAGATGAACCTTCATCTTGGAGATGCTGAAGTCCAAGAGATATCACCCATTTCAAGGGCACTGAGTGTATTTAATGCCCTTTGAAAAAAGTCAGCCCCTTGTGGATTGAAGGTAGGCACCCAAAACAAAGCATGAAAACTCCACATTTTTATTGTCCATTCATGTTGCCATCAGCCCCACCCTGGCCGCCTGACTTTGAATATACAGGTTTCCAGGAGCCCAGCATATCTCAAACTCACTGAAAGTGAATGGGATTTGGACTTTAACTCCTTTGAACATCTATGAAGAGTCGAGACCTGACAGGTGAATGGATAACTGTTTTGCTTTTTTCTGACATTTGCATGTACAAGCCGTTCCTCAGAAAGACCTACACAAGACACTGGCAGAGTATTTTAGTGAAGTACCATGACATGTTTGCTCAGACAGAATCAAGGGATTGTTCAGGATAACATCCCGAGGTGTCCTGTCCAACCTTCTGCTCCAGACAGGGTCAGCTATAAGAACAGACCAGATTGCTCACAGTTTTATCCAACTGGCTCAGGAAGGAGGAGAGAATATCACCTCTCTGGGCAATCTGTTCCACTGCCTCACTGTACACATGATAACTAAGTTTTTCCTTATATGCAAATCAAACACTTTGGTTCAGTTTGTGACTGTTGTCTCTCATCATGCATTACTGTGAAGAGTCTGGCTCCATCTTCTTGATAAACCTCCCGTAGGCTGCTATTAGGTCACCTTTAAGTCTTCTCTTCTGCAGGCTAAACACTTCTTACACTCTTCCTGATGTACCCACTTTAAGTCACTGTTGGAGACAGTACAGTCAGAGGTAGCAGATATACAAACTTTTTGTCAGACCCAGAATGGATTTTCTTATGCTTGTCACTGCAACAGCCACTGAAATCTAGTTAGTCCCATTTTACTAATAGGGATGACAAAAATACAGAGTGACAAACTTAGAGGTTATTCATTGATGCATAGCTTAGCCTGCCTGTCGTACTCATATCTTCTCCCAAGTCATAAGGGACACTGCTAATACAACAGGAAGCCATCACATTTGTCATTCTCTCTAGACTTCTAGGAGATAAGGTCTTGCATAATATATTGTGAGATTCGTGAAAGGTAATCTTTCATCATACAGTCCAAGCCCATTTATCAGGCTTAATTTCACCTACAAATCAAAGCAAAGGTTTGATCCTGGAAAGATCATCCCTGGAAAGATGATGGAGCAGCTTGTTCTGGGAGTCATCTCAAAGCACCTGGATGAAAAGAAGATTATCAGAAGTAGTCAACATGGATTCACCAAGGGGAAGTCATGTCTGACTAATCTGATAGCCTTCTATGACGAAGTGACTAGATGGGTGGATGAGGGGAGGGCTGTGCATGTTGTCTACCTTGACTTTGGCAAGGCTTTCGACACTGTCTCCCACATCATCCTCACAGGCAAGCTTAGGAAGTGTGGGTTAGATGAATGGACAGTGAGGTGGATTGAGAACTGGATGACAGATAGAGCTCAGAGGGTTGTGGTTAGTGGTGCAGAGTCTAGTTGGAGGTCAGTAACAAGTGGTGTCCCTCAGGGGTCAGTACTGGGCCCAGTCTTGTTCAACATATTCATCAATGATCTGGATGAAGGGATAGAGTGTACCATCAGCACGTTTGCTGATGACACAAAACTGGGAGGAGTGGCTGACACGCCAGAAGGCTGTGCCGCCATACAGCAAGACCTGGACAGGCTGGAGAGTTGGGCAGAGAGAAACCTGATGAAATTCAACAAGGGCAAGTGTAGGGTGCTGCATCTGGGGAGGAATAACCCCATGCACCAGTACAGGTTGGGGGCTGACCTCCTGGAGAGCAGCTCTGTGGAGAGGGACCTGGGAGTCCTGGTGGACAACAGGATGACCATGAGCCAGCAATGTGCCCTGGCGGCCAAGAAGGCGAATGGCATCCTGGGTTCAAGAAAGACAGGGATCTGCTGGAGAGGGTCCAGCAAAGGGTAAAGAAGATGATTAGGGGATTGGAACATCTCTCCTATGGAGAAAGGCTGAGGGACTTGGGTCTCTTTAGTCTAGAGAAAAGAAGATTGAGGGGGGATCTTATTAGTACTTACAAATACTTAACGGGAGGATGCCAGGGGGATGGGAGCAGTCTTTTTTCAGTGGTGCCCAGTGATAGGACGAGGGGTAATGGGCATAAACTTGAACATAGGAAGTTCCATCTTAACATGAGAAGGAACTTCTTTACTTTGAGGGTAGTGGAGCACTGGAACAGGCTGCCCAGAGAGGTGGTGGAGTCTCCCACTCTGGAGACATTCAAAACCCGCCTGGACACTGTCCTGTGCAACCTGTTGTAGGTGACCCTGCTCTGGCAGGAGAGTTAGACTAGATGATCTCCAGAAGTCCCTTCCAACCCTAACCATTCTGTGATTCTGTGATTCTGTTTTTGATTGAAAATGTTTTTCATAGATGATAGGACAAGATTTTTCCTAGACTTTGCCTGTCACCAGAAGGACCAGAAAAGGTCTGTTCACTACACCATTTCTCAAAAACAACTTTGCCCAGTTCTATTTGAATGACCAAAATGCTGAGTCTCTCCTAGAAGGAGCTGATGAATAGGCTGTATTAACCAGATCAACTCACTCCTGCATTTTACTAGTGCATTCTTTCCTTTGAATATCTACGGGCACCCTCTCAGGGGAAAACTTAGATGCCAGAAGCATGCTGTGATCACAAACAGCAATTTAATACAACATCAGCTTGCTGCCAGGAGGAACTTTTTTTTATATATAAACAAGAGATAGTCAGCATGGCTTCAGTCTCCTCTGTTTATTTGAGAATGTTTTTTGCTCTGAGGGCTTTGCTTTGTTTCTTAAAATTCACAAGATTCTTACGAACCTGTGATCACTGAATGGAAGTGACAGGACTACAGCATCTTGCCATTAAATAAGCTTATTTTAGCAACAAAACCCCCCCCACGCCATCACCTGCTTTTACAAGGCAGCGGGAGGTATCAACAGCACTACCTACTCTTGCTCAGTAGTCTCCATTTCTGCCTTTGATCCAGTTTTAAAAAAGGTGTCACACACAGCAGTTCAGTATGAAAATACATAGGCTTTCTCTCACTGCCTTAAGGTCCAGTTTCAGGTGGGTCACAGAGTGGTTCAGACTTCAGCCTATAGCTTGGCTATAACAGTTGTGGGTTTAAGTCTGTAGAAAACATGCACTACTTCTAAGCAATATGCAAGATCTAAGCAGCTGCTAACAGGCCCATTCGCTACCCAAGGACAACTATCCCCACTGCTATTTGTGTTTGTATAAGAGGCTTGAACCCTCTGTGGTGACAGCTGTTTTATCCTGGTTTCAAGGCTTCCAATGCACTAAAGTCTGATATTCCCTCTCCAAAATAATACAATTGCACGATTAGTCCATTTGAGAAGGAGACTGCCTTGGTGGGCATGAATTAAGTGGGCCCAGGACACTGACTTAATTTGCTTAAATAGTATGTGCGTCAATGAAAATAATTGCTAAATAAAGAAACCTCCCAGCAATTTTCTTCCAAGTCAACATTCACAAGCTGTGGTTTAGCACTACTCTCCCTTTCACAGGGCTGTAAGGCATTGCAGAGGTTATGAAACTCCTGCATTGGTATTATGAGGGTGGAGAGAGTGAGGGGGTAAGGACAGTCTAAAGGAAGTTGCCATTTCTGACTCAATGCACATTGTTTTTTTGCCATGACACCTTTTCCTCTAAGGTTATCCCAGGAATCTGGTCAACTGATGTTGTTGTTGGATTCCAGGAAAGAGAGGAGGATGTAAAAGGATTAGGGAAAATGCCTGAGGTCCCAAGGGCACTGTGAAATTTGGATAACTTATGAGATTCACTGGCTTTTCTGCTTTGCAGGATAAAGAAAGCGTTTGAGCCATATATCCTAGGGAAGAGAGAGAGGGAAGTAGCTTTTTCTTTTTTTTTTTTTTTTTTTTTAAGGGACACTCTTACCTTCTCCATCGAAAATAGGCTGGGTTTCCATGGTAGGCGTTGGCTTCGAACCATCATCTGAATTGAGGGTTAAAAAGAATCGAAAAGAAACTACCATTATTGAGGTAAATACTATCTACTCTCCAGTACTGTTGAATGATTGGGATTTGTACACGGCCCGGCCAAGTCCAGAAGAGAGAGAAGACAGACAGAATGAAAACAAGTTATTCTATTTATGCTAACAGCAACAGTACTTTATATAGCAAGCATGCATCAAGCACTATCCCTAGACTTGAAAGCAGCCTCCCTCCCTCCCTCCCCTCTCCCTCCACAGACCACTGGTGTGCATCACCTGGCAGTCTCCCCTTGTTGCACTGATCAGGTAATTGCCTTCTTGGTTTCTGGTGGCTATACATCCCACCCAGGACATTTCCTGAGACAGCAAAGGTCTGGGGATTGCTGTCCTACTGTGTCTTTCTCCTTATTCCTTTTGTTCAGAAGAAAACTCTTCTTCCAAAACTTACCTGTGCAGAACCTGGCACCAGCATTCACTGCAAAGCTGTTAGAAAGGGATGGTCAATAGCAAATTTTTTTTCTTACAATGTCTGCATCAAGGTATTCTCTAATTGCAATGCTGTGGCAATGTCTTCTAATTGCAAAATTGTGGGAAAAAACTCCTATTAGGTTTTTCATGTGCAAGAGTACTCGGTGCCTTCTGACCACAAGTCTTTTATAATTAAAAGCTTCAACCAAAAAAGATTCCACAGGAAATATAAATCAAAATTTAGAGATGGACCACAGGGAAAAGAGTTTACACTCTGCCTGGCTGAGTATGCTTATCCATCGTATCTACAGACCCAGCTTGGATTCAGGCTGAGTCTAATTTCCTCAGTGCTCAGAGGGATCTGGATTTCACACGCCAGCTTGGAGCATTTTTACACAGCACTAGGACAGTGGTATAGCCTTATGTAAGGCAAAACCTTCAAACTGTGGGAAAGCTAAGCTGGAACAAACTGTAGACGACAGTCTTTTGTTATATTGCAAGATATGAATGTAGAACATTGCTGGGAAGTAAACTAAGATGAGATTAGCCTAGAATTGCTTCCCCCCCCCTCTTCTTTTTGGAATACACTAGCTTAAAAAACTTACAATTTGTAACAACTATTTTTGCATATGTTACAGACAAAGATGACACCAGGCATCAGCAAAGTTAGCAATAACCTAAAATGGAAATTTGCACAGCAAAATAATCAGTTGGAGGGAGAAGTCTATGCCAGAAAGGCCAGGCTTGCTACGGTCTCCACGACTGTATCAGATGCACAGAAGACAGTTGGAGGAAAGATGATGGGACAGCCTCTCCTAGAAGTAGCAATAACTGTCTTCAGTCTTCCCTTATATTGGTTCCAATTAAAAAATAAAATACCATTGTGTCGTGGTTTAGGCCAAATCAGCTACTGGGGACCTGGAGGACCCCAGATGGGACCGACAGATGCTCTCCTCTACCCCTCTTCAGAGAGAGGCAGAGGAGGAAAAAGAGACTTACGAGTTTAGAAGGAACTAAACTACTTTAATGAAATATTAATAATAAAATAAAAAAAATGAAATATATACAAAACTGTATCAAGCTCCCGAGATGACAATCACAACACCGGCTGGCACTGGGGCAGTCCCAGGCTGGACTCAGTGCAGGGAGGGAACTGGATTCCGGATCTGCATTCAGGATCGGGATCGCAGGCAGACGAACAGAGTCCTCCTCAGACGTCGGCCATTGCAGGAAGAGAGAGCTGACCTTTCGATCCCTCAGCCTTTATACTGAGCATGAGGCAGATGGGGTGGAATACCCTCGTTGGTCAGTTTTGGGTCACCTGTCCTGTTCGCTCCTCCTTGCAGGTGGGACCCCACTATGCTTTTCCGCTTCCGACCCTCCAACGGGGCAAATAACAAAGTTGGTTGGCCTTGGTTGTTATAGCAATAAGTATAAGCAAGGTCCTCTCTGCATACCATGGCTGGGCATCAGCTATAAACATAGGTCTTATCACCCTGAGAGAGTGAACATTGTCTGCACAATATGCTGTTAATTTCAGTTGTTAGAGAGGCCCAGCTAAGAAGCGAAGTTACTGACCAAAATTAGTTCTGTTTTACCTCAAACCAGGACACATTGGAAAGGGAAGGGAAAGGCAGGGATGGAAAACAGAGGCTCGTAAACTATTTTTCCACCAATACCTGTAGTTGCAGTTTTATAAAGTGAGCAAAAGCCTGACCTCTTCCACAGATCATTAATTTTATGCATTTCCACAGAAAGCAATCTAATTCACAGAAAGAAAAAATGTGCTGGTAATTTCATTTCAACCTCAGAGATCCACTCAAGTAAAGGAGGTTGACAGAAACAAGCAAGACATCCTATTGGTATTTTCCTTCTTGATCAATGTATTCAGTTTTATGCTTAATTATATGCATAGCAAAAAATATTTGGAAGAAAAAATACTTGCCATTCCTCAGCCAACTCTTGTTCTGAGTTTTCCTGTTATTGGGTATTACCAGTAATATGGATAAGCAGTACTTTTCTTTAAAAGTTTGAGCAACCAATTTCTTGGAAAAAATTCCCAAGTTTTACTTAATTTACAAGAAGGAAGATTTTGCCCTTTAATGTAATCTCTGGGGTAAAAGTAAATAGTTGATCTTTACTTTTTTTTGTCAGAATAGGCTGCTCTGCTTCTACAAGACCCCAGAAACCACAGCTTTTATTTATTTAGGATGACACTTCACACTAATGTAGCAGTGAGCAGTATGCAGTCAGCATGATTGGCTTTACAGATTGAGAAGCCACCCCACAATGACAAGAGATACTCATAGAACAACTGGAAAGGTGAATAATTCTTAAGTTACATAAAATAAGAAGAGACCTGGCATGAAAAAAAATTACCAGCGTGATAATAAGTTTATTCCTATTGTTCTCATAAATGCTTCTGCACCATGTAATTACACAACAGCTTTTCAGATTTAAAGCAGCAACTGAGAAGCCAACAATGGAGAAAAATTAGAAGTGGATCTGAGCCACAACACTTTATCCAAACCATTATGTGAACTTTGGCAGAACTTGGGACGCTTCAGGTTCAGGGGGCTTCTTTTAGGCTCGTGTGTGTGTGAAGAACAGAGACAGTATCAATTACAATTCAGGAAATACATTCTTCTTAAAGAAAGATAATTTTGTAGCAGTTTTTGTATAAAGTTAGCCATTAAGCTACTAAAGGGTATTAAACAGTGACAGAATAAATGCAGCAAACAAAAAAATACCAACCTAACCTTTGAACTGTGTTTTGCTTTTAAGATCATCTCAGTAAAATGGCTGTGAGCTATACAATCATTTCCTCACTAAGTTTCTAAAGCCAAATTGTCACAAATTCCACATTGTAGCGGAACCCAGTACAGTGTTAAGGTTTTTGCAAATAGATGGAAGTATAATTACTCCCCTGTTGTTGAGCAAGTATAGTTCTTTCATCACACATAGAAGACAGTGCAATAGACAAAGGCCCTGTAGTTACACTCACCATATTTCAAAAATCAAAACCAGGGATATTTCTGATTTTTTTAAAGGTCATGAAATAGTCACATAAAAGACAAAAATTGCACTTTATTAAAAACACCACGCTCACTTCCCAGCTGCCAGCTTCTTACTCTGAAATTACCAAATCTATTTCTTAAACTAGAGAATTCTCAGTAGATCTCAGTGCTTCAAATTAGCTTACGGCAAAGAGTTTCACTGCCATTCCCTTTGGGCAGAAGAACAACCCTAATACTTGTCTACTCTCATTTATTTTTTCCTCTTGCTCAGTACACTGTTCATCACATTGAACATTTGTTCCACTGGCCTGTTTCCTTCTGGTAAACAAGGAATAAGTTCCATTTTACATACCTGACGTTTTTGAACAAACTTTTTTGATTCCTTAAAGAAGCATTTCAACACAGAACAGAAAAAAAACCAAGTTATTTCAGACCTAGGGTCTCCTGTGATATTGTACAAGATGTACAAGATATTGTTACTTTGGAGCCGAAGGTCATGAAATACATTCATCAAGTGTGATCTAGTCCTTTCTTCAAAAAGCTATTAAATTCCACACTTTCAAAAAAGGCGTGTAACCGCAGTAGTTTCTCATGCAGAGCATGCCACAAACAGAGCGATCAAAGAGGTCAAGTAAGTGCTTCTTAATCCCTCTAGATGGCAATGCTTCCAGATCAGGAACTCACGTACAGCAGAACCATCAAAGATAATTTCCCTTGGTTGCAGAATATTCTCAGAGCCTTGATGAAGAGTGCATTGGCATGCTTCTCTTCCATGTTTTACAACGCAGCATGAATACCCACTTTATTTTTCCAAGACAACTACTGAATACAGACAGCATCACTCAACAGAATACCTCTGATGGGACATAGTTTTTAAGCCATAAAACTCCTTTCCACTAAGTCTCCTTTTCCTAGGGTACACCTGCAAAAGTTGAACTAATTTTTTTCTGGCTGAACTGGTGTCAATTTAAAAATGCTATTTTTATCTTACCTCTAGTAAGAGTGAAACAGGCAGGTCCAAACAACTCTCTGAAGCTGTTTTCACATTAAGGTGCTATGGCTATAAGCCAGAAGCCCACTTGCACTACCCCTGTCAGAGGCTCGTAAGCTTAAGAACAGTTTTTGTTGTGTTAGCCTGACAATAACTCAGATCTATTGCTAGTAGTGGGCAAGAACTCTTTATGCTCCCAGTAGGACTTCCCTCCCTTATCCTTATCTTTGCAGAACATCTAGCAAGCATCCACATCTGGAATGAATGCCGTGTACACTGGGGTTGAGGGACAAGGAGATTCAGTTCATGCAAAAAACAACTGTTAAAGTGATCATTTTCCTCTGAATGACAGGCACTGAGGCCACGAGCAAACTGAGTTATGTCTGGGGAAAAGTAAACTCCCTGACATCGAAAAAACATAACTTACTATGGAAAAATGTGAAGTAACTGCCTACTGCTGTGAATCACTGCTCTTGCCTCCAGCCACCTAATGGAAGCTGACGAAAGGGGAAAGTTAGGTGACAGA